GTAGTGAATGAGGGCAAGGCGAAATATCTCCTGTCATCAAACAAACTATCATTGAATTTGCCAATCTTAACTTTGAAGGCGTAGATAAGTTCGTAAGTTCGTAACGAAAACCAAACTCTATAGGTCGCTCCTAATAACCATCCAACTATATGGAGCAGAAGCTTGAATGATGTAATTATCTGCCTAGTAATCTCAAGGTTCTTCAAGAGAAAAGTCTTGCGAACGATTAATGGTCCTTTTCGCATTAGCAACGGCAAACAACAGCGACTATGCTTGCTAAAACGAAAACGAAAATTTTTCGATGTTGAAGTAGATATTCTATAATTAAGATTGTAGGGAACATCTACAGATAATTCGAGAGATAGATGATAATCATCTTCGGGGAAAACAAAAGGATCACAGCAACTTAGAGAAAATGACGAATCGTCATCCAAAAATATAAGATCCAAAGTTTATCCAAGCCATATTTATTTGAAAAAGTCCCAGACCAGAAAGCTCATTAGGAAATAATGTGCATTATCTCGAGTTGAGCTAAGTACTTGTAAACTGTCATAAATATTCCCTGATATACAGGATAAATTGAAGTACTAAGTACTCTATCATGAATGGTCGTGACATTGTTTTAAAATCTCTTTTTTACCATTTACCACGCGCTATTACTTTTTTCACTCTGGTGAATCACCATAAACGGAAACAAATCTCGACTTGGCGAAATTGTAAAGGTTGCACTTTCAACTCTCCGCGCCGGATACGATAAAGGCTTTCTCGACTAGGCGAATAATTTTTTTGTTATACCAGTGGTCGGTAGAAGTCACTACACGATAAACGCCACAATACGGGATAGTATATCCGCAACCTCATGTTCCTTTCCTTGATACACTCTATCAAATCGTACTGCTAACCACACAGATCCTTTAACTTAAATAAATATGTGAACAATGACTGTTACAGAATCGAATAATTTCGCTCGTCTTTGTTCAAGGACCTACTTAAATAAAATATAACCCTCTCGCGGCCATCAAACATTTGCGTTAGATCCGCACCTATACCGTGGTCAGACGCGTCTGTCTGGATTGTGAAAGGTCTATTAAAATCCAGGCAGCTCAAAACTGGAGATGTTACCAAGTGCTCTCCCGCTTCTCTCAAACTCCTTTCACAATCTTCATTCCCTGTTCTTGTCAATCTATCTGAAACATCATTCAGAATGTCGAATTGTTTCTCAAAATAATTTGAGGCTATAGTAATATTGTCCAAATAAATAAAATCATAATGTTATCGCTTTGGTCCTATGAGCGAATCTATAAATCTCTGCCAGGTTTCCAGTACATTATGCAAGCCGTATGGCATCCTCTTTAGCTGAATGAGACCTCTACCTGGTACCGTGAACGCTTTGATGGGCCTCGACTGTTCGTCCACTGGAATTCGCCAATAAGCTGACTTAATGTCCAGACTAGACAGAAACTTGGTATGCCTCAGCTTATCTAAGGTCGCTGTCACGTATGGAAGGGCGCAGCTTTCTTTCTCGGTACATTTATTCAAGATCCCATAGTGTTCACAAAACCTATATATACCGTCTTTTTTCCTGATCAGGACTACTGGAGACGCCCAAGGAGTTGTGATTTCTCTATCACCCCTTTGTCAAGTATATTTTTAATCGCCTCGTCCATATTCGACTGTATGACGGGAGACACAGGGTAATTCCACTGTTTCACAGGTTCAACTTCTGCCTTTACTCTGATCTTATGCTCGACCAAACGGGTCCGGTCGGGACTCGGCTTCGATGTACAGGCCGAGCAGTCCCGCTTCATGACACCTAGCCTACCGCACGCGAAACACTTTAACCCCTTTTTACACTCAGAAGAAATCCAAATCTCTTACAATTAAGAAACTAGGTGTTCGACCCTGGTCTAAAGATATCAACAAGGAGCCGAGACATAATCCAGGACAATAAAATGTTAATAAAATAAAAAACAAATATTTTCTCCTCTGACAACACAACTGTTAAACAAAATTTTTTTCTATTCCTTATATAATAAAAAATATTTATTACAAAAAATAACAACAAAATTTCTTTAATATCAAAAAAACTAAAAACCACAAACTAAATTTGATAGAACTACTACTGGTTACATCTGGACAGGTCTCTACCCACTTGACAAACAATTTTTACTACTTGGATAGCACACACACTTTTCCACTTTTCTACGAACTTTTTACGCACATCCATATGTATACCTACGAAGGCTGTTGGTCAAGCGCCTACCCAGGACCACACACGTCATCAAGACAAACTACAGCACAAAAAGGAGCTTAGCGTAGACGGTATGGGTCCCTAGCTAAGTACAATAACAAAACCGTTAGCAGAGAAAAACAGCACCAACAGTTCTATTCTCACTGTTACCGGTAAGGTAAATTTTGTTCCTTTTTTCAATACCCGTAATTGAATTCGGTATTCTGGGGAACTGGCTACAGTCTTTAAAACTTTGACAGCACTGCTCCATTCATCCATGTCAAATTTCATTTGCCAGTTGGTAAAGTAAAAAAAGAATATTCTCATCAAATTAGAAGAGGGTGCACAACAAAATATATAAGTTTTATTTATTTGTTTATAAAATCATAAATATTTGTACCTTATTTTGGAAAATGTGCCTAAATAATAAAAAAAGCTGAATGAAAACGTTATCTAACAAATTAAAATGGTAATTTTTTTCTCACAGCTTCTAAGCATACGTCTCTTAAATATGTCTACCAATTTGGTTTTTATTTTTTCTTAAACCAACAACACAAAATCAAACAGTCGCTATTTCGCTGGTAACAAAATTTACAGGATGACAGTGAACTCAGAATACGAAATAGTAACAAAATTTACTGAATGGTAAATTTTAATGCCAAAAAAAATTTTGTTACTTCGACGGAATAGGCTTGCAAGTGGAACTTAATAACGCTATAAACAATCGAAAACAATGGATGGACAACAAGCAGGCATCTATATGGGACAAAGTAAGCAATATATATTTTTTGGGGTGCACCCGGAGTGCGGTTAAGAACCCTCTCGCACAACTCTCGTGCTGCCAGGGGTAATTTTAACGTAATTTTAACTCACCTATGTGACTGGGCTCTGCGCGCGGTATGCTAGAGGGATGGATAAGGGAGAAGCGAAGGATCGACACCGTCGGCACGGCAAACCGTATAAAAATAAAAGACAAAGGGATACTTAAAATTGTTGGGCCGGGTGCGCTTCCCGACTTCGGTGCTCCTCCAGCGGTGAAACCATTAGAACACGGAAACAGTAATGTAAAACTATGGACTACCCTAACTAATTCAAATTTATTTTTATTATTTTTTTCCTCTAAAAAACAACGCACCTACGTCGGCCTGCAGTATTGGTGCCCAATATACACCGCGACCATTACCTAAAGGTACCGGGTTGTATACTAAGCCTCCTCCGGGTGGTTTTTACTTCATGCCAGAAATACTCTCTACCGATAAAATAAATACGTATAACAAAAGTGAAATATATTTAATTTTGAATTAAATATATCTATACATAAAAACCTTATGCCCGTTTGGAAAAATCCAGTTATCTCTGAAAATCTCCATAAGTTAAAAAAAAATTTGGGGAATTGGACCCACTACTGACCCATCCAAAAAAAAACCTTACCTACGGAACGGGTGTTTCACAAAAGTTGGTCAACGATTGGCTTTCACTTTCGTCTATTATTCGTGAGAAGGTTGTTTCGAAAACAAAAATTTCGGGAAGTGAACTGCGGACGGAACTATTCGAAAAAATCTCTTAAGTCCGTTTAAAACAGGTGTTCTCCAAAGTTGAAATATCGATTGACTTGAAATTTAGTCGGATAGCTTTAATGATTCCTTGGAATACTTTTACGAAAACATTTACGGGAAATGAATCAGGTGTTAACCTATTCGAAGATATCATAAATATGGTTCGACTTCCTTAAAACTCGATATATAGATGGTATTTGCTTAGATTAAGTGGAAGACTACTCATCTCTCCGGGAAGTGGTCCAGGAACCGACCTATTCAAAAAATTCGGACTACTCTTATCTCCTGGAAGTGGAACAAGCTTCGACCCATTTGAAAAAAGTTGCTCGATGTACTTGAAATTCGTTACATAGTAGGTTTCTTGTATAGATTTACAGAAAGACTACACTTCTCTTCGGGAAGTTGACCAGAGACTGAGCTTTTTGAAAAATTGGAATTTATTGCTCGATTTACTTGAACATCGGGACCTACATAGCTTTTTTATAACATTAACAGGTATACTACACTTCTCTCTAGGAAGTGGACCGGGAATGGCCGATTCGGGCTATACCTTAACTATTCCAAGAAAATTTCAATTTATTCCATAGAGAATTCTTGAATGATTTAAGGTGTTTAGAAAAGCTCTGTGGAAAATGAAGAAAACACAGATTGAACATCATATACCGAGTTTCGTCTCGCTTAGCAAGCTCTAAAATCGAGATACGACAACTCTCGCTGAATTGTCAAGACACCAAAAAACTTGTCTTAGCGGGTGAGGTAGTAAAAGTTGTTTGAATGTATTCAAACTGAAACATTGGTTCGAATCGAAATGTTATCTTGTAATTATTTTTATAAAATCATTAATATTTTCCATAATTTTTACACATAAAAAATGCATTCTCACGTTTCTTTACTTTAGTAAATAAATTGCCATACCTTTGAAGCGTAAGTTAAGGATAATTTTTTAAGAGATATAGGAAAGTTTTTCAAACGAAAATGTCATGTGGCACCGTCTTGTTAAAACCACATGTCATGCGGGCCAAACTCTTCCATAACCGCACCAAACTGTTACTTTTTCTGGATGCATTGATAGCTCTCACAATGCTTCTGACTGATCTTCACTCCAAAATCCTTGCTGAACTGAAGTAGCGCGGAATATTTTGATAATAAAATTCAGTAATTTGGAAGCATTGTCCGTTTGTAAGACGATTCATGGTTAACTTATAGACATATAGATGTTTATAGTACAACGGAATGAACAAGTAAGTGTTACGATAATATCTCGTATGTTATAAGTTCTAAACATGTAATCTATAAGGTATTATTATTTTATGCAGAATTATTATAAGAAAATTTGCTAGTATTAGTAACTAAATTAAAAAATACGTTTAGAATAAGGTAAATGAAGTATTAAAAAATATGTTATATAATTTAATTGAATTTTTAGGTTTTGATATATTAGTATATTGACTTTTTGCACATTTATTTATTTTATTAGTTTTTTTTTGTGGTTGCCGTTGGTGTTATAGCTGGTGTTGCTCATATTGCTAATGCTACTACTACTGCTGCTACTACTGCAGTCGGTACTGCTGTTGTTACTGCGTCTACTGCTGCTGCTGTTGCAAACATAACAGGTATTTCAATTTAATATGTTTGTTATTTTATAATAAGTTGTTTTTTTTTTTGATATTGTTTATATAGCTGGTGTTGCTCATACTGCTCCTGCTGTAACTGCTGCTGCTGCCACTAGTGCAGTCGGTACTGGTGTTGTTACTGCGTCTACTTTTGCTGCTGTTGCCTACATAATAGGTGTATCGTTTTTGCAAATTAGTTATTTTATAATAAATGGCTTTTTTTTTTGTTAATTTTTTTTTCTGTTGGTATTATAGCTGGTGTTGCTGCTACTGCTCTTACTGCTGCTGCCACTACTTCTGCTGTTACTAGTGCAACTGTTACTACTGCTGCTGCTACTACTTTTGCTGAAAGTAGTGCTGTTGCTCACTACTGTTACTGCAGTCGGTACTGCTGCTATTAGTGTGGGTGCTGAAGTTTTTGTTACTGCGTCTACCCTTGACGCTGCTGCAAACATAACTTGTGTTGCTGCTAATTCTCCTGTTACTGCTGTCGATATTGGTACTTCTCTTTTTGCTTTTGCTGCTGATAAAAATTCAGGTATGCTTAATTATTTGTAGAATTTTTTGTATATGTATGGGTGACCTTATGAATATACAGTATGTCGATTAATGAAAATGATCAAGAAAATTCATTTTTCAACTTGTTTTTTATTAACTAAAACCAATTTCTTTAACTTCTTTTTTTAAATAATATTATTCTGAGTAATCTTAACATAAATAATGCACACAAATTATAAAATTCAAGACATAAAGTTGCAGAGAAATAAAAATTCAAAAGATTTCAAATATTATGGTGTCAATTAATAGTTTGCATTTTGTAAACAATTATTGCAAATATAATTAAAACTGGGAAAATATAGCATTGTTGGTACTAATATTTGGTGTGATGGCCACTTGCACCTATAACAGCTCGAAGATGACGGGTCATGGACTGAATAAGGTTGTTTAAGTCATAGTTTTGAGGTATTTCGTTCCACTCTTCCTGAAGGACCTTAAAAAGACAGTTTTTATAAGTTGGGCCCACTCGTTTCCTTAGAAGTCAGGTCATTAACTACAATTATATAGTAGGCACGTCCTGCAAAGCAATGATTTTTGCTTGGGATCGTTGTCCTGGTACAGTTTGTACCTTAATGTATTTGGGTTTTCATGGTCAAGAAATCCAAATCTCATTGCACTCCTTGACAATTCATTCTTTAGAATGCCCAAATAAAACTCCTTCGTCATCTCGTCTTTGAAAATTTGGAGCTTACCTACATCTTTCGACGAAATGCAACCCCAGGCCATTTCAGAAAGATAACGTCATCCAGTATTCCGTCGCGAAAAATAACGTCATCCCAGTATTCCGCAGTCCTGTAAATATTGGTAACAGAAAAATTGAGCCGCTTCTCAATATTAACTACCGACAACAATGGTTTCTTTCTAGCTTTTTGAGAGGAGTACGAAGCGTGTTCAAAAAAAATCGAGAATTCCGTGTTTTTTAAAAAAATGATTTATTTATTCATGAATATCTATTTTGTCCCATTGAAAGTTATCCGCATGTGATATTATACACTTGTGCCGGCGGTTTTAACGATCTTCGAAGCACTTCAACGTCTTTATCTCGTCAATCGTAGCGTAACGTCGTCCTTTCAGGCCTCTTCAGTTTAGGGAACAAGAAAAAGTCACAGGAGGCCGGATCTGGGGAGTACGGTGGCTGCGGCTTTAGTGTGTTGTTTTTGGCCAAAAAGTCGCGCACAAGCAGCGATGTGTGAGCAGGGGCGGTATCGTCAATTTTTGAACGTCCACAAATCCGGGGGTTTCTGGTGGATTGCTTCGCGCAAATTGGGCATTACTTGTAGGTAATATTCTTTATTGACCGTTCTACCATGTGGCAAGAACTCAGGATGCGCCACGACCCTGCAATTAATTTTTTCGTCTGTTGTGTTCGGGCGTCCGGCACGGTCTTCTTCGTTTACATCTTCTCGGCCTTCTGAGAACATTTTGTACCACCGATAAACATTGCCTCAGTCCAAGGTAGCTTCTCCGTATGCCATGCATCCGCGCACTTAATTTCGTTTTAAATACATAATTTAATACAGGTTCTTTGATCCATTTTTTTGAATAGGTAAAAATCGAAGACCATCCAAAACATGTGCAAGCAAAGCAGCTGTCAACAATTAAGTGAACATTCAAAATGGCCGAACTTGTCGGCATAAGTGACAGACATAAGTACCAAAATAACGCCACAAAAAATCCAAATTCGATTTTACGGAACCCGTGAAAATTCAAAACTTGCGATACTTTTTGAACACACCTTGTACTTGTGTATTTTTGAGATTTTCGGATTGTCTCGTGACTTACTGGCAATCATTTTTAATATGTAACGCCAATTTTCTCAGGGTGGTTTGAGGATTATCAATGATATGATTTAAAGTTTTGAATGATCGCGTTTAGAAAGTTTTGTTGGTCTATCTCCAGAGTGCTTTACCTCCAACCTGTTTTCTTTTTCTGCGCGCTTAATAGTATCTATTATAAATCGTTTTTGATGGAAAACATTTCCGCTAACTTCTTATCTGATTTCTCTTGTTGGTAGTTAAAATAAACCAAAAGAATGCCAGGCATTGTTAAAAGCACTAAATCAACACGATCTGAAATGTCCAAAGCATTAACCGAATTCAACGCATAGTTAAGACGCATGCGTTCACTCCTTTTCAAATTTGTGGTACCGCTAAGTCATCTACGTTTTATTTTGAATTGTGTGGGTATTTCGCGAAGAATAAATTGACAACGCAATATTTTACGAGTGATATTTGCTAAGTATTCTAGATTAACAATACCAATTAATGAAAAAAGGAAAATAAAATACTTTCGTTTGCAAATAAAATTCGAAAAGAGAATTTTGTGTTTTTTTCGTTTTGCAAACAATTAATTGAGCTGCTCACAGTGCCCGGGCACCTTCGTACATTCGTATTTTGAACAATGTATTAATATTAAAAGAACATGGAATCAATCATTTTCATGGGTGCTTTCTTAAAATTATTGTGCACTGCGAGGCAGGCGTTGGGTCGGCCCAGGATTATTTTTTTAAGTACGGTCGAAGGCCGCTTACTTACAAAGGTGTTTTACTTAAGAATACTGTGCAATTGAATATACACAAAATATTATTAAAAACATATAGCAAATATTCTCGCAGTGTATTTACGCTGTAAGAAGAGTGTCACCTATCGGCCTAATGTCGATAATGCATGGAGTGTATGAATTCTCCAAAAATTTAAGTAGTAACACCAAATTCACACCCCACGATTAGTATGTGCATTAGCCACTCAACCTTAATATAACTTATCTGCGCTCCTTTATTCCAAAGCTCTAAATTTCGTTAGTCACCCAGCAAAACCTGATAACAAAAAAAATGGCTTTACATCCGTCCTCTTGCAGAATGCCCTCTGCACGACCATCCGCGAAAAAATTGTTCATCGCGCGGAAAAATTTACGGATTCCTGACGCCTGTGAGGTAATAGTCGTGAGGTTCGACTGTGCCCCATATACCGTTCAAAATCGGCTGAGGAAAGGCTTCGAGCAGTTTTAATTCATAAATATTGCACAAATTGCCTAAGTCATTTTTTCAATTTGACAATATTCATCTGCAGAGTTTCTCGGTCACCACATACTCTATACCAAACTTGCGCTCTTCTATATAACTGCATTGGTAAATGTCACAAGGACTTACTCGTTTCCGGCGTTGTCCCGTTCATCGCCATTCTTGAACGGCTGTGATGTTGGTCATTAATCTTTCAAGGACCTCAACAAGGAGGGCAGCGACATTTTCCTCAGTAAGATGCGGAGCATTCCAGTTGCATGCTCTCATACTTAAAACGTTTGGTAGGGTCTTCATCAAAAGTAGGATCTCTCATTCGAGTCATTGGACTTTTGTTTTAATATGGTGAGTTCCAAGCCCCACTTAAAACTGCAAGAAATTAACCATCCCACTGGCCATCCTCCACCCGTCATTCATACTTATCCAAAAATGTTATTCTTGTGCAAATTGTGCAACTTTCATCACTCAATCAAGGATCAAGGTAATCAAACAACTCTAGTTGTATCGCCACATTTCATATGGCATTTTATACAAAAAACTTCCGTACCTCCACACAGGCACAAATCGCAACTTAAAATGCTCATCCAGCTCAGATAATATTCTCGCGCATTTCAAATACCAGAGAACCGGTATTGCTGCCTATTTGCCTTAAAATTATGGTAATACGAGCTCTATTAGATTAAGGTTCCCAAAAAACATTTGCATCATCTCAAATACAAAGTGTTCTTGAGAATAAGCGGAATACCAGCATGAAACTCAAATGAAATTTGCACTCCTATAATATTCCGTTCGAATATGAAAAATCGCAACTACGGCAGACGACGATCTTTCAATCGCCGTGAAGCGGCTAAACAATACTCTTAAGGTCGTTTATTTTGGTGTAAATGCTCGGTAAGGCTGCCCAAGTCTGCCGAGTCTTAGCCAATAATACCATCATACTTTCTGATATAAAGAAACTAACGCATTGACAGAGATATACAATTTTCTGTTTCATACATTTAACAAAAAGTGGAAGGTTCCAGAAATATAATAATTTAATAATACTTTAAAGATAGTTTGAACTTACCTTTTCCTTTTACTCACCTCACTTTACTGCTATAAAATGCATAAAAAAAACTCACCTGCTTTCATATGTCCGCTTCTTTCTCTGCTGCGTATGTAAAAAGATTTTAGTAACGTTGTAAATAAACATTGTTGAGCATTGTAACTCTAAGAACGCTTGATATCATTAAAAACATGCGGTTGTGCAGTTTGAAGAATAATCCTAAGCAAAAGGAAAATTACAAGTGAAAAACAGCAGCTAAAGTATGTTGTGAAAATTAAAATTCGGTTAAAGAAACTGAATAATGTAAAACACGGCGAAGTTTCGCGAATCAAGAGACAGCTATGCCGGCTAGGTCATGTCGTCTGGATAGATGAAAACAATCAGCTTGGCATCTCCGAGTAGAGAAAAGAAGAAACGATTGGCGCACTGGTAATGAACAAGATATAACCGCATTATGCGGTGTCGGCACCAGTAAAGAAGATAAAGAAGACTCTTTCATTACCCTCTGTTGTAATTTGTTATGCAAATGTAGCGTTAAACGATAGTACACCGTGTCTTTATTATTGAAAAATATTTCAAAAGTTTTGAAAGCTTGGGAGACTGGATCCGTTGAAGACACCAAACACTGGCCGTAGAAGAGAATGGCGAATTTCAAGAAGCTTTCTACAGCGTATAATTATCAAAGATCTGAGACTTCATGCTAACAAAATTCAATTGACAGAACAACTGAACCTGATGATTAAATAATAAAGCACCAACAAATGAATGCTGATATTTCGAAAAAAAAATCATTCTGAGAGCGTTCTGAGAGCCCACATCTAATTGTCGAAGAGCAAATGCATCCATGCATGGGTTTTGAGCTGGATCCGTAATTAGACCATACTTTTTTGAAAAAAAAAGCTAGTCAAGCAGGGACTGTCAAAATTCGGTCATAGTAATGCAGCCAATACATGATTTCTAGATCGTGCAATTTAACACCATTAGATTTCTTTTTATAGGGTTATTTTAAAACACAAGACTATTGCAACAAGCCTACAACAACGAATAATAGTCAAGAACATTTTGACACAGATGAAAAGCCATGGTTTCCATTAATTCTATTTTATTAAAGGTAAAAGATACCTGGAGAATGTGCAAAATCAAGAATTATTAAATATGTAATTGAATTTTACAAAAGTGCATATGTAGTGTCTGTATTTTTGAAAATCGTAGTTTGAAAAACAATGCCTCGGATGAGATACCCCTTTTTTATGTGGTAGTACGATGTCTCCTGATCAAAACCTTAATTCAGCCTACACAACGAAACAAACGTAAAGAAGTTGAGGCTGATGTTTCATGACAGAAAAACTCAAAACCAGACCGACCTTGTTCTGATAGACGGAATACATGTTTCCGGTGCTCTTGACGTCCGTATACTGCGAGGTCTCACCAATGACTCAGAACACTATTTTGTTACATCGGAGATGTTTGTCAAAGAATTCTCGCCAACAACTACAAGGAAGGTTTGACTTCGAAATCTGAAATCAAAACAGACATCTGAACTCTTTTCACTCGACTTGCACTCCTGTTCTCTGAGAGCACTCACCAGCAACACAGTCGAACCCCAATCGGTGAAAAAGGAAAAGACGTTCTATTGCCGGATAATGATGAGGTTCGAATAGTGATTGCTCATTCAAAGAACAACAAAACAGCTGTATGATGGCTTGACGGCGAAACTATCGCGGTGAAGAACAGATGATGTGCATGCAAAAGCTTCGTTGCAATATATCGTCGGAGGAAAGCATGACTGACGATTCGAGCCTAAGTGTGCCTTATACATTAAAAGAGACTCCATAGTCTGCGCTAATGACTGTAGTCAGCCAAATATCGCTCATAGGGCTTATAAAGCGCACAGTGTGAATGACTTAACCCCACCGTCAATAAACTTATTGGATCTCGTCAGTGTGGCTTTATAAATGATGAATCCACCACTGGTCAGATATTCACCTTTTGTCATGTCTGCAAAAGACCAACCACTTTTGCATTAATTTTAAAACTACCATGGTGTCTGAATTGGATATTTCTTACACGGCTGTGTTAAATTATACTGGAAAACAGCAGAAGCCCCGACAGTGTCGGGTAGATCCTCTCCCAACCGTTATGTTCAAAATGGGTTTCAAACAGGGTCGCTCTTTATGATGTGATTTTTCAAGATCTGTAGAGTCAAAGAGACAAGGATCTATTTACTATAAGTATGTAAAACTGCTGGCGTATGCTGATGACTTTAATATCTTAGGCCCAAGTTCTCCAGTCTTCAAGCTTGACAAAAAAATAACGTTTATAGGAAAAGACTCATAAGCAGTCATGGCACTTACGGCTTGGCTTCCACGTGACTGTTGGCCGTCATTACTTCGAGGTGTTAAATATTATCGTCTGTTTAGAGGACAGCACCAAAAATAATGTCAGTTGTGAAATCCCACCCAGCTGGTACTTTGGACTGAGCAGGTAATTGAAAAGTGAAGTCCTTTCTCGGCGAACCAAAAAAAACTCTATAAGCCCTTAATCATTCCCGTCCTGCTATGTGGTGCAGAAACGCTGACGATACCCACGGCCAATGAGCCTTCGAGGGATTATTTGGTAAGTGATTTATAGCTCCTCACGCATTAACAAGGACGTGGAACTATCAGACAGCATCTATACTTGCTATGTACGAGGCGCGCTCCAAAAGTATTCGCGGGTTGCGTATAATCGAATTTCGATTTTTTTGTGGCGTTATGTTGGCACTCATGTCTGTCACTTATGCCGACAAGTTCGGCCATTTTGAATGTTCACTTAATATTTGACAGCTGCTTTGCTTGCACGTGTTTTGGATGGTCTTCGATTTTTTACCTATTCAAAAAAATGGATCAAAGAACCTGTATCAAATTTTGTGTGGAAAATGAAATTAAGTGCGCGGATGCATGGCATACGGAAAAGCTACCTTGGACCGAAGCAACGTTTATCGGTGGTACAAAATGTTCTCAGAAGGCCGAGAAGATGTAAACGAAGAAGAGCGTGCCGGACGCCCGAGCACACAAGAGACGAAAAAACTAATTGCAGGGGCGTGGTGCATCATGAGTTCTTGCCACAGGGTAGAACGGTTAATAAAGAATATTACCTACAAGTTATGCGCAATTTGCGCGAAGCAATCCGCCAGAAAAAAGAAAACAAATTGGCTTTTGCACCACGATAACGCCCCTGCTCACATCGTTGTGTGTTGCTTTGAATGGTACAAAATATATATTCATGAATAAATAAATAATTTTATGAAAAAACACAAAAATCGATATGTTTGTTTTTTTTGAACACACCTCATATTATCGTTCGTATAAATGAAAGCTCTCCAGATTTGAAAGAAATCGATGTGGTGCTGGAAAGGCGTACAGTCAACACCTTCAAAAACTCTCTTTGTGAAAAGTGTCCTTAGAGCCAAACCACCACCCATAGCAGACAAAGAGTTCGAACTGCTTCGAGAGTCCCGTGTAATACTAGCGCAACTTTGGTCTGGATATTGTAGCAGGTAAAACTCCTACCTATCCAGACTCACCCCAGACAAGTCTGACGTATGTTCAGCATGTAACGAGTCCCCCCATGAGACAAACTTCGTCTTTTTATGCCCCGAAACAGCTTGTGTTCTGAACCTACCGTTAGATGATCTCGGATGATGTCTCAAAGAGAGGTTGGAATAGAAGCTATAACAACTACAACAACGAACTGCGTGTTACAGTTGATTCTGATGTAATCGCGTAAGCGGTGCCTACGCCAATGAAGAAGAAGGAGTGTTTACAAAATATTTTGCATTAACAATTTTTAATCCGCTTCAACAAATATATTTATAACAGTTTTTTCATTTTTTCATCCTGGTCATTATTTTCAACTTACAAAATCTTTCTGAAGATCAGCTGTTTTCTCATTTGTATATTCGTCATTTATTAAACAATTCATGGATCCCGTTGCTGCCGCGAAATTAGAAATGTCACCGTTTTTCGTTGCGACTGTGCTTATGATTATTGTGCCCAGTTGATATTGTTGTTGTTGTTGTTTATTATTTTTTAATGATTTAATAGTCTGTTGACGACTATCACTACTCGCAGCGCGGTGAAATGAGGATATGGTGTTTTTTGTCGCATCACATTGAAGTATGCCAGAAGTGAAGATATCCTGATTCTTTGGCATCTGGGTTTGCTGACAACAGCTTACCACGTCGATGTTTTGTTGTATGTCGAGCTCATGAGGAATAATGGTATCAATGACACCTAGACGATCCGATTGCATATTGTAGCTTGTACTACTTTCAATAGGATAATGCTTTTCATTTGGGAGTCTCGATATATCATCGAAAGGTGTAAAGCTTTTTGGATTTTTGGTTTGCTTGTTTGTCGTTGCATAAGCAGAAAATGTGCTTGTTGTTGTACTTTTTTGTTGCTGCTTTAAATGGGTACCTTTTCGATTTCTTATACGTTTCCTATCACACTTTCGCGGATCAATGCCCAGCTCCCAATAGCCACCTTTGCCCTTCTCAAACTTTTTACGGTCTATTTTAAGAAAGCATTGATGCAGCGATAAATTGTGTCGTATGGAATTCTGAAATTATAGAAATTTACAATTACAATTTTACAATTACAATTTTTATATGTATTGTTCTCTGGCTGTTCTAAAAAAACAAGAAATATATAAAGCGGGTACAACTCCGTAAAAGATCCTTCAGGTCGCGTTTTCGTGTATTTTGTGGAGCTTTTCTTAATTCACAATGTGTAAATTCAAAAAAAAAAATTCAAGTATGCTTACCTAAATGTATTTCATGTAAATTCCTATATTATATTTATGCAAATATTGTACAATCTTACATAGATGCAATTTCAAGATATCAAGATATCAAGTGACATGGAAAACAATAATCTCGTCATGACTAATAGAAATGAAAAGTGAAAAATTGGCACTATTGTGAATGGATTCACCTTATTTTTTGCATTATAACTTATTTATTTATAAAATTATGGCCTTAAACGTTGTATTCGCAATTAATAGTTTTTAAGAAAATGCCAAACCTCAAAATAAAATCGTTATTTTTGATAAAAAAGAAGTCAAAGTACAATATTTATTTTTGAGAGAAACACTTAATAGGCAAGATAAGGATAACTTTTGATACGGAACATATGAACCTCAGATATAATCATTACTTCTCATTCTTATTAGGAAAACATAGTTTATTTATTAATAATTGGTTTTTTAGCGAAAAGTAAAAATTTTGATTTACTTTTATTTATTATTCATAATTAATTTTGATTTTCCAACAGAACACAACTCAACTAAATTCACTCACTAATTGATTTATTGCATAAAGAACGAAAAGATTACTTATCGCTCAATATTGACAAATAAAGGGAAATAAATTTACTTCCAACGCATTACTTCCACGTGGTAGAAGGAATCAATATTTTTTAATCAGCAAATTGATATTTAAAAGTGCAGCCAAGTGTCGAATTAAAACTGCCCACGACAATGCAGTTCACGCAAAATCTTACAGATAATTATTTAATTATTTGCCATCATAGTTCACCGTACTCTGTACCGATTTCGATTGCGCGAAAAAAATATAATGCATCGGGCATTCAAAATTGTCGCATCGTCCTAGATTATGTTTTTTTTATGCAGATGTTTGTATTTTATAATGATTGACTTAGCAAAGGGGTCCCATCAAAGAGAAATGGAATCCAAAGATCGTAGGAAGACATTTAAATGAATTAAAAAATAATAATAACAATGAGTTAATTATAAATGAAATATTTAAGGAAAAACTCAATAAAATTACGTTCATTGCAAATAAGTTAATCAAAAATATAAGAAAAGATACTTTTATAGAAAATGAAACATATTAAAATTTGCAAAATCGAGTAAGAGTAATTAAAGAAGGATTAATAAATATTTAGCATGTCATACAAGGGGCGAAAGAAGATATTTTAAATACATTAATGTTAAATATATAAAATCCGAAATGGAAGCGCTTTAGAAAAGCTCGAAAAGGTTAAAATTCCATTTAATAATGCCAAAGAAGCATTAGAATTATCAAATGTAAACATTTTAAGCAAAGGTATGATAATTTTTTACGTAGTAGTTGTTAAACTACTAAAACCTTCTACGAAGGCAATAACGAAACTAAAATTTTTAAACTAAACGAATTAATATAACATATATTTGTAATAATACGTGTATTCTAGAATTATAAATAGTTTAAATTCATCACGCACCTTAAGTAATGGATTCAGGAAATAAAATCAGAAACTATACTTCTTAACAACTATTACGGAGAAATTTTTATAGATAACGTGCAAAGAAATATATTGGGACACATCTTATAAACTTCTATAATTCATCATTGAAAATCAATAACCAAACCTATACTAATTTCGATTTGATCCCAGTTGCTCCAATTACTTCAGACTTGCAACCTACACCTATCACATTTATATTAATTTCAATAATTTACCTAATTTTTAATAACGCTCGAGAACGAACGTTTTTAAGAGGAAAAGTGTTAACATGGAAGATGCTAACTTTGATATTACAAAACCCCCATCTTAAAAGTCTTGCATTAAATTAAGGCTTTTTAAAACTAAGCGGACTCGCGTCCGCTGTGTCTTTATTTATTATCAGCAAACTTAAGATTAAACAATATTTATTTCTTAAGCCTAAATGAAACCTATGGTCGACATCAAGTCGCGTTGCACCTGCATGTGCAATATTGGTAAACTGCTGTTTAATCAATTACTTCAATAATATTTCCGAATTGGCTAGTGCGGCGTCAACAATCAATCAATTATTGTAAGCTGTTGTGTTAGCTCTTTCCCCTTTAAGCTTGATCATCCTCGATCATCAATAGAATGGCAATTTATTAAAATTTACGTCCGTTGGAATTTTGCTTGGATCACTTGGCTGAGTTTCGTTAATTTTTGTTATAGATTTTATATTTTCGTTTTCCACATATGGGATTTTCATGGATCTCCACCTAAGAAAATGATTACTATGATAATTAAGCAAAACGCTATTACAGTTTAGCTTCCGACAGATAAGGTCGCTTTCTTCAGAAAATTTTTTCGATGTATCTTGCGGATATGTAAGTCTTTACTATTGATTTTAATAGATGTGTTGTAGGATGTTATTACGTGCACTCCGTTTATTATTTGAGGAGTATTGTCGCTTTCAATTTCTCCATTGAATTGGTTCAAAAACATTACGCCTGGTTTTATCTTTTCTACCGTAGGGACTTGGTGACCATTGGTTGTCGTGCAGTTGAACTTAAACTATTAATTATTCTGGTTATTGCAAAATTCTTGCTTAATTCTACTAGTCTTTTTCTTTACATATTGTTATATCATTAAAAGATTCACATTTATTTTTTATTCCATATAATATATTTATTTAACTTTTTATTTAACTTTTTTACAGGTTTTATAATAATTTTCTTAAAAATTTCTTTTATCGTTAAGGGTATTTTAGTGACAATTTTCATATTATTGCATAAAACATTTACTTTCGATAATTCTAGTGCTTCTTCTGGCATTTTTTCTTTTATTAATTTTTCAATTGACAGCTTAATTTCTTGTTTACTTAATATTACCGAGTTTAGAATATTAATTTTTGGCCATTGAATGGCGTATCTAATATTTATTAATTCTTCCTTAACTAGTCTAATCCTGTTTTGATAATTTATTAAAATTTCAGTTTAGGTATTAATCTTTACTCATTAAATTTATCATTTTAATAAATATAATTGTCATATCATTTATTCGCTTTTCAAATAAATTATTAATTACTATTTGATTGTCATTGTTTTCATTTAATTTATTTAAGTTATCTGTTATTATGCTTAGATCTTCATGATCAGGAGCTCCGGCTAAATATTTCCAAGCCGTTCCCAATATGTCAATTGATCTTTTTATTTTGTTATTATTGGAAGGTTTCAGAGTGTTCAGTATTTCAAAGGGTTGGGTGGTTTCATGCTTTAGGATAGGGTATAGGAAATTGTTTTTAGGCATTCGGGTGGTTATTTCATCATACGTGTAAGTCTCCGTTAAGTATTGTTCGTATTTTTCTAAGTCAATCAAATGAATAAGTCTAAATGTGCCGTCTTGTCTTTTCGCTTGTCCATTGTGTATTGTAACTGGTTGTGCCGTACTGTAATCCAAAATTTTTCATCGGCTATGAAGGATGTAAAAGGGGTATAAACGATTAAAATTGTTAGATAATTCATTTTGCCTGTTTTTATTAGTGATTTGTAAATTATTCGTCCTGCTGTGGTTTTAACTGTTGTTCTATTGTTTTCGGCTACAGTTTCTTTCTTGTGCTTTGAAGATAATTTCGATTCTAATATCTTATTTATTTTAACATTAATTGTATCTTCTGTAGAATAGTTTTTAATTTCGGTACTTTGCTTGTTATGGTAAGATAAATCAATATCCTGTTTCCTTTTTAATTGAGCAATGTTTTTTTGCCTTTGTGTTCTAGTTGTGTAGGGTCAGTCAAAATTCTGTTTTCGAAAGACATGGTTATTGGTTTGGTTTTTGTTGGAGAATGGATTGATGTGTTATATTCTTGTACTGATTTGAATAGTTATTCTTCACATGTTATTCCCACACAAGTTGCTTTGAGGCTTAAAAAAATAATTTCGTAAAGTGAACAATGAAATCTCTCTACTTGCCCGTTACTTGTACTGCTAAAGTGGAGTGGTATAAACGTTAATGGGCATTTGGTCTTTAAGAAGGCATGATACGGTTGTAGAATTTAGGGATTTTCCATTGTCAATTACTACATGTTTTGGTATTCCGAAGGCAATCATTAATTCTATTATGGGCTCCTAAAGCGTAGTTGGATGCATCAGTAGTTAAGTGGAATTCGTGTTTAAAATTTGGATATGCTAATATAACTTCGTTTGAAATTAACGCGACTAGCTTTTTACTGGAGGCATTTTTGGACACGCGTCGATCTTCCCCTCTCAAAAGCGAGGTCCGAGGTTTCGCTAATTTGGCGTAATCTCTGATGAAGCGTCGATAGTAGCCTGATAAGCCGAGAAAGGAACATCAAGTCTTTCAGTGTTTTTGGGCACGGATATTCCTGAAATGCCTTTACTTTGTAAGGATTAGTTTTTATACCTGTGGGTGAAATAATGAAGCCTTAAAATTCGACTTCTTTGCGGAAAAATTCGCAGTTGTCCAACTGTACTTTCATATTCGCTTTTTCCAATGTATAGGAAATTGTTTCGACATTTTGATGGTGGCTTTGTTCGTCTTTGCCAAAAACTATTATGTCATCAATATAACCATAACAAATTGTTCCTATTTGGTCCTTTAATATGTCATCCAGAACCATTTGAAAGATGGCTGTTACGTTTTTCAGTCCGAACGGAAGTCGGGTGAATTCATATTTTCCGTTGTTAATTGAAAAGGCTGTCTTCTCGATGTCGGGCTCCTTCAAGGGAATCTGATGGAAGCCACTCCTCAAATCCAACTCTGAAAAGTATGAGTTGTTTCCCAGTTGGGAGATTACCTAGTTAAGTTCTGGGATGGGGTACCTGTCTGCTATAGTTAATGTAT